CAAATTTAACTGTCACAGATTCTAATCGTATCTAATTGTTGAAGACACTTTAATTCTAATCTAGACGCGGACGTCCAGCTCCGAGGGAGTGGTGCCTTCTCTTCTCCTGAGATGGAAGTTATTACCGCAGGTGCAGACGTCCACGTTGTAAGGAACTTTGAAAAATATGGCGGGAAAGAGCCGTCATCTAATCGGCGCGGTTTCGAGGGGCCCGTTTGTCTCGGGACGGGGACACCTGTCCACCTCCTTCCGTAACTCGCATAGGGTCGTCGCAGGCTGCGAGTCCGCAGACTCGGCGCGGACGGCGTACGTTGCGTACCTTCAGTGATCGCGCTTCGGCGTCCAGGAGTGCGTCGCTTGCTGCTTGGCGTCGGTTGTCTCTAAGACCGCAGGACCTCCATTCGCGGGACCGTAAACACTAATTATTGGCATATCACAGGCGCGCAGGGCAACCGTCTCGCTGGACGCGCGTCGGCGGTACGCGATCGTGCCGACCGATTTGCTCGCACCGGCAGTAAGCCACACGCGAGAGACGAGGTACTCGTCAACGTATACTTCACACCTTCGCGTTTACACCAAGTCGTCCGCGTTCCAATGCTCGCTTCGCGCTGCGCCGCTGCTTCGCGCTACTTGGCGCTACTCAGCAGTTCGGCACTCTCGGCAGTCGGCTTGCCTCCGAGAACAGGGCTGCCAATCTCATCTCGTATTAAGCCCCTTGCACAATGGGTGCGTTCAGTCGATACTCCGCTAGCAGCTCCGGTATTAGCCGGTCAACTTCGATCGGTCGACTTTATTAATTTTCATATTTTTTTTATCGTTTGTTGGTCGTTTGTTGGTGATTGTTGGCCTAATTACAACGTTTGTTGGTTCTTAATTTTTTTTTAAATTTAAAAAGAAAAATTAGCATTAAATTAGCCGGAAAAATTTTATTTTTAATTTCAAAAAAGCCTAATCGATGCGTAATCGTTTGCTGATGATTGTTGGTCTAATTTTAGCGTTTGTTGGTTTATTATTAGTCTTAAAAACGAAAAAAAAACGAAAAATTATCTCACATATTAAAGTAATCGAAGATTGGTTTATTTGCCTACGACTTAAGCTTTATTTCTATCAATTTAAGGCTAACATCTATAAAACTGCCATATGAATACGGGCCTTAACATCGGCAGAAAATCGCGAAAAGATAAAAAAACATGGTGGTTCGTGGGAAGCACGCACACACACACACACACACAACGGGGGGTGCAAGGGGGGGCCTTCGGCTCCCCCTCCCCCGCACCCACCCCGCCGGTAGGCTGCGTGGACCACCTCATAGAAGTTAGCCGGACAATTTCGACTTACGACATTTTTTTTTTTACGAATCGATTGTTAGTCGTTTGTTATTGATTGTTAGACTAATTAGAACGTTTGTTAGTTAATAGTTTTTACGTAATCACAAAAATAATTTTTAGTGTTAATTTAGCCGGTAAATATAGAATTCTTTACAATTTTCGATTCAAACCGTGGTCAATCGATGCGGAATCGTTTGTTAGTTCCGAATATAC